GCCGATGCCGCATTAAGGCTGCACAATTTGATGGGTCTACAAACCTGGAACTCGATTCGGGCACTCGACTTCATCGAAACTCTCCCCGAGGTTGATCCAGACCGATTGGCCGTGACAGGTGCCAGCGGGGGGGGAACGCAAACGATGATTCTCGCTGCAGTGGATGATCGCGTTGATGTTGCTTTCCCAGCAGTCATGGTCTCAACTGGCATGCAGGGTGGCTGCGTTTGTGAAAACGCCAGTTACTTAAGGCAGGGAGTGAACAACGTTGCCTTCGCTGCTCTCTTTGCTCCGAAACCACAAGCGATGAGTGGAGCTGATGACTGGACCATTGAAATCGAGTCTAAAGGATTGCCTGAACTCAAGCAGGTCTACGCACTCTTCGGCAAGTCAGCGAATGTCCACGCAGCCGCATTCCCTCAATTCAAGCACAATTACAATCAGTTCTCGCGCGAAGTGATGTTCAACTGGTTCAACGACCATCTCAAACTCGGTATCAAATCTCCGGTTAAGCAGACTGATTTCGAACCACTGACTCCTCAAGAGATGTCAGTTTTCAATGAGGATCACCCATTGCCTGATGATGCACTCAAAGCAGATGCCCTGAGAAAGCTGATGAGACTTGAAGACGAAGCAGAACTGGAGAATTGGTTGCTGGATGCTGAGCAGTACGGACAAATCGTCGGGCAGGCAGTCGAAGTGATTCTTAATGATGACGATCTCAATCCACATTATGAGGTTCTTTCCACTCGTACTCAAATAGATGCAACACGCGTTGAAACTGGAGTCGTGACACACTCAAACGTCGCAGTTTTGCCCACGAGAATTTACCTACCCGCCGCAAGCCTCAAAGGAACCGTCTTCTGGTTCACGGGCAGCGAACAATCGAACAATGAGGAACAAGCGATCAGAAAGCTGATTACCTCTGGCTATCGGGTTGTCTTACCGGAATTGTTTCAGGTCAACACATCATCTGAAGAGTCAAAGTTCAAAGTGAACCAGAAATACCCCGGCTACACCTATTGCTACAACCATCCCTTGATTGTGGAAAGAGTCCGTGACATTCTCGCAGTCCTAGAAACGACCCCAGCGGAAGAAGATCAAGCTGGAAAAGATCTGAAACGGATCATCGTCGGAGACGCAGGGGCTGGTCCCTGGGCATTGCTGGCAAGTACGATTTCCAATAAGCACCGTTCGGATCACTGGATCACCGACTTGGAAGGCTTTTCCTTTCAAGAAATCAACAGTATCGATGACCCGAATTTACTGCCAGGTGCGTTGAAATATGGTGGCCTAGCAGGCTTTTTCCGTCTGCAACCGAGTGCAAACAGAACTATAGCAGGGACCGGTTCAAGCAACGTTTGGCAGGAATTTTCCAAGTCAGGTGACAACAACGCCGGCTCCGCAACCATTATCGAAGCAAATCTGTTAGCGACGGACATCGCCTCACAAATCATTGAAGCCGAGTGAAGATTGCGAACTCAAGCGAGTCACCAGTCGGTCTCTACGATCGACTTGGCCGCTGCAAAGTCTATGATCTTTTGGAGATCGCTCATTACAAATCTTTTTGAATTTCATATTGATGGGAAAGCGAGAGATACTGCTGCTACTGGCTGGAGCCATGTTGGCTGGGATTGTCATCTGGAGGCAAAACCAGTTGCAGCAGTGGGAGAGCGATCCTTCCCGCACGGCGGTTGGACTCCGTCAACTTGCTCCGCGGTTTACTCTTGCTGACCACAATCGAAAAGTAGTCAAACTTGAGCGATTACTCGGACGGCACCGGATCGTCCTGGTCTTTTTCGATGCAGAACTCGGTGTTGATCGCGACCCACGCACCAGAATCCTGATCAATAACTTCGAGAAACTCGATCAGTCAGGAATCGAAGTGATCGCTGTCAGTACTGCCACCCCTTTCGCCAATGGTGAAGCAGAGAAGAGGCTCGGCAGCAAAGTCCCGTTTCCGGTACTTACCGACATAGAGATCAATGATCCCCAACCGACTCCAGCTCACCGGAAATATGGGCTGGTCGATGAACAGACAGGAGAACTCATGTCAGGAATCTTTCTGATCGAGCGGGATGGCAGCGTTCCTTTTTCAGCTAGCGGCTCTCCTCGGCTCGTCAAGAATGAGACTTTGCTACTCGAAGATCTCAGCCAGGGGCAATGGCCCGGGCCAAATTAGTTTACTTTCTTCAAGGAAATTGTTGCAGATGAGTCAAGTTTTCAAAATCGTCAATATGCAACAACGATTTCGTTGAGAGTTGAGATAAAATGAAATCAAGTTTTCCCTAGACACTAGCCCGCGCATAGAAAGAGCCCCAACTCGCCAGCGGGGCTCTCTCAAACTCAAAATGGACTCGTGAAGTGAGTATACCCGCGCCCCTTGAATAGACAGGGGCAATCCGACTTCCCCTATCGAAAAACTGGAATCCAGTGCCCATGCTGCCGTCGCAATAGCTGCTCTCTCAATAGCGACACTGACTAGCAAAAGTCCGAAGGCCGTCAATACGCGGAACACCATCCACACGAGACTGGGATCGTTGGGCAGATTCAGAATCATCGATTCAAATTGAGGAAGTCTCACGCCGAGCAATTAGCAGGTCAGGCACATCACAACCTCGATGTGAGAAACAAGAACGCCAAAGGCTTGATCAGGTGGTTCGTTAAAAAAGCAGACCGTCCGACCGATGACGAGGTGCTTCGCTTTTTGGAATTCTTTAGAGAGTTTGAAAAGCCGACAATGAAGATGGACCAAGTGTTCAGAGAAGCTGCTGAGTTAATCAAGAGTGGCAATATTGACCAAATCATCGGCAAGGGTTGGAGACATCGGGAAGAAGTAGTCGCATCAGTTGCCTACGTGATGAGCCTGTATCGTGGAGAGTCTGCAAAGTTCTCCTTTTCAGACAGGATGATTGAAAAGTATTTCGGAATAGAAGAACTACGACTCTCTCATACGACCGCCAATGTAGCCGTCAAGGATCTAGTCGAAGCTGGCATTCTCAAGACCGTCCAGGCTCACGAAATAATCTTGCGAGGCGGCGGGATGATGTTCTGCTCGCGAATGTTTCAATGGTTGGGGCCGAGACCGTTTGATGACATTGACAAAAAGATTGCCGATCTGAAACGCGAATTAAGTCTCAAAATGACAAACTCTAATTCCGTGGCCTCTGAGGCTCTTGTTTTGCCTCAGATCGACTTGGAATCGAGCGATCCACCTGCTGAAACGTCTACTATAGCATTTTTGCGATTGATGTATCAGGATTTGGCGCGTTGTGTCTATGATTTCATGAGTCACCAAGGAGGGGATTTATGAAAGCTTATTCTGTGGACTTGCGAGAACGGGTTTTGGCAGCGGTTGATGCCCGTGCGCTTCCTTGCTCATGTACGCCTAAGCTGTGACGCTTGGATTGAAAGAAGATCGTCGCCGAGTTGAATCTGAAAATTTTTGACAACTCACTCTCAAAAGATGGAGGTCGCAAGATCATGCTTCAATCGCATGCAACATCGGGTGAAAAAATCACTGACAACCGGTTTGACAACCAAGAGTGATAATTGGTGTTATAGCGAATCGTCACTTGATGTGTTGTCTCGGAGTACATCGCTCGGGCCTGTTCCAGTTCTTGGCCTGAGAGTGGTGAGACTTTAGCCCAGAGTTGTGAGAAAGTTGTCCAGCTTTCGGACTCCGCCCCAAAGTCATCTCTGGTAACAGATCGCTGTTGAATGGTAATGAGATGCCTGAGTTGTCCTGCTCGCACGTTGCCTCCTGAAATGGTGGTTCAGGAGTATTTATTCACACCAATGAGATTTCTCTGGTAGACTGATGGAACGATGAAGAAATGGATAAAAAGAGTCCTGATAGGATTGGCAACATTTGTAGTGTTTTTCACTACTTACGTTGTTAGCTCTCCGTTTGTTCTCAAGTTTGCACTCTGGAGTAAGTCTCCTGCTATCTATAATTTTATCTGGGATTACTTCTTTTATCCCTTGTTTTGGCTAAGCAATAAATTACCTAGTTTTGGAAAATTTGTCATTTGGTGGCACGAACAGTTTAATTGATCCTCAAACATACCTCACATTCATGATCTGTTTGATGAGTCGATCCACTCCCAGTTTCAACTGCTCAGTCTTGAGCGTGATTTCTCCTGCTCGCAAGTTGTTTCCTGAAATGATGTTTCAGGAGTATTGATTCAAACCAATGAGATTTCTCTGGTAGACTGATGGGACGATGAAGAAATGGTTGAAAAGAGTCCTGATAGGCTTCGTAGCATGTGTGGTGATTCTCACTATTTATGTTCTTAGTTTTCCGTTTGTTTTCAATTTGATTAGCGCTAACTTTTCCTTTTGGGAAGGCTTTGATCTGATACAGTTGATTTACTCTCCCGTCTTCTGGCTAATGGAACATTCAAAATTATTCAGTAATTTTATGTGGTGGTGGTACGAGATTGTGTTCAGATACTTTTAGACATACCTCGCATTCATGATCTGTTTGATGAAATCGGATTTCTGGAGAAGCTGAATTTCGATAAGAAATGAGTCCCATCAGGGAAAGTTCTTGGAACATTTCGTTTGCAGAATCGTCTGAGCAACAGTCGTTAATGTTCAGGCTGAAGTCTCATGAAACGATTTTCACAGATATGTGGTTTCATTCTCATCACAATGGCATTGTATGTCGGCTCTTATCCTTTGATGATTCATCAGAGAGTATTTTCCGTGAATCTGATAGGCCCGATTTACAGACCACTATTCTCGATTGCTGATAAATCAAAATTTGTAGATAACTCAATCACGGTGTGGACAGAATTATTTTTAGGCGAATTGAGTGACAGTGAAGTTAAAATGATGATTTGGCGTTCGATCCACGACAGGGAAAATACGAAATCGTGGAGAGTAGACCATTACGAATAATCTCCCCACTTTTCAGCATCCAAGAGTGCGTGTGCTGACCATGGAATCTTGGAGACCATCGAGCCAATCACGACAGGTTCTCTCGCTTCGTACCAATGGCTGCACATGATGAGGCAGGCGAGTTGGATATTCTCCGATGCAGTCTCCCCAGCGACAAACTGCACCTGCACGGCATCAGGTCTGTCATCAAATGTTGGGAAAGCAACAACAGGCACGACCCGGCCCGGAACAGAGATCGACTCGATACTGTATCTGTTCAGTTGGAATGGGAAGCTTCTGATGAAGTCCCAGAGCCGCTTTTGCTGAATGCTTCTAAGCAGTATTTCTTCAAAACATCTAAGCTGGATTTCAAAATCCTGATGGGTGATCAGGATAACATCGCAGAGAACTTGTTCTCATCTATCCAGGCATTCTCACCGGCTGTGCGGGATATTTTTGAATGCTTTGATTTTCATATACAAGTCGAGCGACTGGCCAAAGCGAATCTTCTTTATCTGGTGGCTGAGAAATTCACCAATATCGATTTGCATCCCGATGTTGTCACAAACGAGTAAATGGGAACTGTCTTTGAGGAACTGATCCGCAAGTTTGCAGAACTCTCAAATGAAACAGCTGGGGAACACTTTACACCCCGGGAAGTGATCCGGCTGATGGTGAATTTGCTCTTCATTGAAGATGATGATGCATTGACCAAACAGGGTATTGTCCGTTCGCTGTACGATCCGACAGCCGGGACAGGTGGAATGCTTTGCGGACCTCCTCTAACAGCCGTTTGAGTTCTGCTTTTCATCTTCCGAGAGAACTGCTTGGTCATTGCATTCAGACATGAATTTCTGTTTCCAGTTACGAATCAAATTCGGGTGCAGACCAAGACTGCGAGCAGCTTCAGCGAGGCTGTACCCTTGATCAGTGACGAGACTCACAGCATCACCCTGAAACTCATCTGAGAACGAACTTCGTGGACGCCTGGTTGGCGCAGAGGCACGAATGGGCTTGGACATAGTGACTTCCTTCCTGAGAGAACACACTCTCTATCAGGCGCCCACGATCCGCGGGGAACTTCATGGGTTGCTTGCAAGGAGAGTCGGTGATTCAAAGCTCAACCTCAATGAGTGCTCTACCATTGCACATACTGGAACTTGACAGGTGCTCAACTTCTGATATGAGCTTAAAAAAAGATCGTTCTCTCCTCGATAGTGCCGGACAATGAATCGCATTGAAACCGAAGTCCAATCTCTGACTGAGACGCAGCGATTTGGGAAGCAACTGGCGAGTGTATTAAAAGAAGGTGATGTCGTTGCATTGATTGGTCATCTGGGAGCCGGCAAGACTCACTTAACACAATCAATCGTCGAGAACTTCGGAATTGATCCAGAAAATGTAAGCAGTCCCACATTTGTTCTGATTCAGGAATACGATGGAACAGTTCCTATTTGCCATATTGATGCGTACCGCCTGAATGACACCGACGAATTTCTGGAATTAGGTGCAGACGAGCTTCTAGGAGCAAAAAACATTTGTCTGATTGAATGGGCAGATCGTGTCATGGATGTTCTGCCACGAAGATTAATCAAGATAGAAATCGACATCACTGGGAGGAATTCCAGGTGCATTTCAGTGACATGTCCCGCTGACCGATTTGACGAATTCCAGAAGAAGCTCGCTAGTTCGACTGATTCAATGTTCCCTGAAGCTTGAAGTCCACCTCATTTGCGACCAAACTGATAAAAAATAAACGTACACGAAGAGAATTCCTGACTATGACAACCTCCCTTGAAACAACACTCTTCAATGAACTTGAGCAACTTGTTCTGATCGACCCACACACTCATATCAATCCTCATGCCGCAGCCTCAAAAACATTGGCTGATATCATGGGGTATCACTACTACACTGAGTTAGCGCACTCTGCTGGTCTTGATAAAGCACAGATTGAAGAAGACGGGCTTGATCCCAAGACGAAAGTTGGTCGGCTCGTCGAGAAATTGGCAGACCTGGATAATACAATTCAGGTGAACTGGCTGCTGGACATGTGCCGCGAGTTCTTTGATTTCAACGATGACCGTATCACAACTGAGAACTGGGAACAGCTCTACGATACGGCACTCGCAAAAATGTCTGTAGACAATTGGGAACAACAAGTTCTTCAGCAAAGTAAGCTGGAGAAGGTTTTTCTCACCAATGACTTTGATGACAAACTCGAAGGTTTTGACACCAACGTCTACGTCCCCTGTTTACGTACGGATGATCTGGTCTTTCACTTTTTGAAGAAGTCTGTGCGAAATCGTTTACAGGAAGCTTCTGGTATTGAAGTCATTGATGCAGCGACATTCCGTGAGGCCATCGGGAAGCTCTTCGATCATTTTGTGGGAAAAAATGTCAAAGCGTGTGCCATCTCGATCCCACCCAACTTTTCGCCAAGCAAAGTCGATGCCGGGGCTGCAGCCTCTGTCATCAAACGTACGGTCAAAGGGCAGCGTCTCACCTCGACGGAACAGGAAATGCTCTCCTCGTTTGTATTTTGGACGATTACAGAATTCTGCTCAGAACACAAACTCCCCTTCGATTTGATGATCGGTGTAAATAGACGTGTTTATGAGGGCGGAGTCTTTCAGGGACAAGATCTTTTTGACAAACGTGTCTCTTTACTGCAATATAAAGAGCTATGGAATGCGTTCCCAAATGTCACCTTCCCGATCTCTGTTCTTGGTAGCACAAGCAACCAGGAGCTTGTGAGTTACTCCTGGATTTTCCCCAATGTGATCACAAATGGCCATTGGTGGTACTCCAACATACCTACCTACATTGAAGTCGACACCCGCAGCCGTTTGGAAGCAGTCCCACGTACTAAACAAGTCGGTTATTACAGCGACATGTACAAACTAGAGTTCGCACTCCCTAAGTTCCGTATGTATCGTCGTATTCTCGCCAGAGTTCTGGCATCAGATTTTGTTCAAGGTCGTGGCTGGACCGAAGAACAGGCGCTTGAACTAGGCAAGCAGGTTCTGCGTGGTAATGTCGAGTCAATATTTAACATTTAATTATTGCACACAACAAAACCTTCTTGGTAACACAATATCAAACAGGTTATTCACAACTGATCTTAGTACTCCTCAGGTTTGAATCCTGAGTTGGTATAATCACGTTCGTTACGAGGGCAACTAGCTGATTCCTGGAGCGGATTGCAGAACAGTGTTTGCAATCTGTCTCGTGGATTGGTGTTTTTATTGCGGTGAGAGAACTTCACCGCAGACACACGGTAGAGCAACCTGCTCTAATCGGAGAGATATGATGAGCAAACTGGTCCTGCTGCAAGATGGTCAAGCGACACCTTTCACTCTCAGCCAGGATGAAACCATCATCGGCAGGCTTCCGGAGTGCGACATTCAACTCCCTTCTAATATGGTTTCACGTAGACATGCACGCGTGATTCGCGATGGTGCTCAGTTCCTGATCGAAGATATGGGAAGTGGAAACGGGACGTTTCTGAATGGGCAAAAAATTGAAGGCTCGCAACGCCTGAAAGCGAATGATCGCGTGAAATTTGGCCCGATGTTAATGCGTTTCGATAGCGATGTTGATGATGACGACAGTTCTGCGTCATCCGCGCTACAACACGCTGCCAATCTCGGATCACTGGAAGTGAGCGATGCGGACGATGGATCATCGACAATCGTCGGATCACTCGACAGTTCTACCTTAGGCATTCTTGACTCACGACCTCAGGAGAAACTCAAAGCTGTCCTGGATATCAGTCGAGCATTGGCAGGGACTTTGGAAGTCGAGAAACTACTTCCCAAGATTCTGGATTCTCTCTTCACCATTTTCCCCGCAGCAGACAGAGGCTGCATTCTGCTCAAGGACTCTAAAACGGGGAATATGAACCCTCGAGCGATGAAACATCGCAACGAAAGTGAAGATGCAACTGTCAAACTCAGTCGCACGATCCTCAGTTCTGTACTCGATCAGAAACAAGCCATCTTATCCGCTGATGCTGCCAGCGACTCTCGCTTTGACGCCAGCGAGTCTATTTCTGCCTTGACGATCCGCTCAATGATGTGCGTCCCTATGCTGGATTTGCAGGGTGAACCTGTAGGAGTCATTAACATTGACACCCAGAATCCGATGATGCAGTTCCGTAATGAGGACCTGGAAATCATGGTCACAGTTGCTGGACAAGCGGCCCTGGCATACGAAAGTGCTCGCCTGCTCCAATCGTTTGTCGAGAAGCAGAAACAGGAAGGAGAAATGAACATCGCGCGAGGAGTGCAACAGGCGCTCTTGCCCGATTCCCTGCCTGACAATCCAGACTACACTTTCTTCGCATCATACGATTCTGCACAGGCAGTCGGTGGAGATTACTACGATGTCATCCCGACTCGCGATGGCAAGATATGGATCGCCTTTGGAGACGTCGCTGGAAAAGGGGTTCCCGCTTCGCTCGTGATGTCTCGAATGTCAAGCGTCGTTCGCAGCGTGAGTGAATTTGTGACAGATGCAGGTGAAGCAGTCATGGCGATTAACGATCACATGTGCGCAAAAGCGACTGAGGGTCGATTTGTCACCTTTGTTCTGACGATTCTAGATACAGTGAATCACTCCATGTCTGTCGTCAACGCAGGACACATGTCACCTATCATTCGCAAAACAGATGGAACCTGGGAAGAATTCGACGACGACGCGATTGGAGTCCCGATCGGAGTCATGGAAGGGTTCCCGTTCGAAACCAGAGAACGCAACATCGCTGACGGCGAAGTCGTTGTCCTCTATACAGACGGCGTCAGCGAGGCGATGAACTTTGATAGCGATTTATACGGAATCGAACGACTGCGGGACTTGATTACCAACACAGCCCCCAAGGCCCGAGAGATGGGTAAAATTATTCGCGAAGATGTCCGCAAACACGCGAACGGTCGACCACAAAACGATGATATCACAATGATGGTCTTTGGGCGGGTCAAAGAGTAACCGAACCTCACTTACCCTGATTCGGGACCACATGTCATCAGCCTGAAAAGATTGCCCACCTTCGCTTGAACAAGCTGCCGCTCACCGTCAGAATAAGCAAAACATCAAAGCTCTCCTATTCGGCTTCTATTCTGAAGTCCAAGAGGTATCGGCGCCATGGCCCGACATGGCGACAAATAAGATTCGTACGAACATTTTTCACACAGTCAAATCTGCTGAACACAACTAGCATCATCATTTAAAGGACACGCAATGGAGATCCAAAAGGGACAAACCGTAGGTATCGATCTCGGCACTACCTACTCTGCTATTTCACAACTCGATGCAGACGGAAATCCTGTTGCGATTGAAAACACTGATGGCAGCACAATTACACCATCCGTTGTCATTCTCAGCGAAGAAGGCAAAGTCATTGTTGGTCCAACATTCGAAAGAATGTCGATCGAGGATCCCCGCAACATCGTCGAGGCAATTAAGCGCCAGATGGGGAACAAGGATTTCTTCATCGTTTATCAAGATAAAAAACTGACTCCCGAATTCGTCTCTGCTTTAATTCTTAAAAAACTCAAGCAAGATGCCGAGGCGTCAGTCGGAACCATCGCAAACGCTGTGATCACCGTTCCCTACTACTTTAACGACGTCCGTCGTAAAGCAACTCAGGATGCAGGACAAATCGCTGGCTTGAACGTCATTGATATTATCAACGAACCCACAGCGGCAACGCTCGCATATGCCTGGCAAAAAGGTCACCTGGGACGACCAGAAGCATTCGATGGTGAGCGAACGATCATGGTCTACGACCTGGGCGGCGGAACCTTTGATGTGACTGTCGTTCGATACACAGCGACGACCTTCAAAGTACTCGCAACAGACGGTGACGTCATGCTGGGAGGTCTGGACTGGAGCCGTAGAATCGTTGACCATATCGCAGAAGAGTTCCATAAGAAGCACGAACTCGACCCTCGTGAAGACCCCGAAACCTTGATGCAGTTGACACAGGAATGTGAGCAGGCCAAAAGAGATTTAAGTGATCGTGCTCAAATTCCAATCAACGCCTACTACAAAGGCAAAAACGTAACAATCGCTTTGACTCGTGGTGACTTCGAGCGTTTAACAGGCGACCTGATGCAGCGAACTCGTGACACCACAGAACTGGTCATGCAACAGGCTGGAGTTGGGAAAGGCGAATTAGACGAACTCGTGCTGGTTGGTGGTTCTACTTACATGCCTGTCGTTGAAACCATGTTGAAAGACGTGACCGGCCTGGAACCATCTCGCGATGTCAGTCCCGAGGAAGCAGTCTCACAAGGTGCCGCCATCCACGCTGCTATCCTGGAAACACGAGCGACAGGAGGAGACAGTCGCTTAGGGAAAGCAGTCATCAATCGATTGCGCTCAGTCTCGGCCACCGACGTCAATTCGCATTCGCTGGGAGTCAAAGTCAGCGACCCTCAAGACAAGTCGCGAAAAATCAATCACATCATGATTCCCAAAAACACTTCGCTGCCAGTGGAGGTCAAGCAGAAGTTCAAAACAAATACAGCCAATCAACAACGCGTGCATGTTTGTGTTCTGGAAGGAGATGCCAGCGATCCGGATGCATGCACAACCATTGGTGATTTTCGCATTGTGAATCTACCTGCCAATCTGCCAGCTGGATCACCTGTCGAAATCACTTATAGCTATGACAAAAACGGACGTTTCTCGGCAACTGCTGTCGAACTGACTGGGAATGTGGCAGCGAAAACAGAAATCGTCAGAGATTCCGGTCTCACTAACGAAAATGTTGATGCATTCCAGACATTAGCCAGCGACTATCAAGTTGAATAAACAGGATCTGATTGTCAACAACCAATTGGATCGATTACTCTCAACAATTAAGATGATTGCTTCCAATCCCCGTCACTTGAACAGGATGAAGAGTCACATTAATGGATGTCTACAAGGAATGGCTGGGAATTCCTGATGGTCCTCGTCCACCGGACCATTATGAACTGTTGCGGATCGTTCGCTTCGAAGACGACCCAGAGAAAATTCGAGCGCATTACAAGAAGCTGAATGCTCACGTTCGGAAGTATGCAACCGGTCAGTACTCTGTTCAGTCGCAGGATTTGCTCAACGAAATGGCGAAAGCGATGTTATGTCTGACAGACACAACACGCAAACGTGATTACGATGAAAGCCTGGGTCGAGAGTTTGAAGCCGAAATTGATGAATTCGGTCGCCAACCACTGCTCGACGTGTTAGTGCGTAACGGTGAACTATCAAGAGAACAGCAGGCAGAAGTCGAAGAATTTGCCAGCAGGCGAGGCTTGTCACACCGCGATGCCGTTGTACAGATGAAACTGGTTAAACCGACAAAAGCAGCACAAGCACTGGCTGTTCAGCTCGGATATTCCTATGTCGATTTAGACGACATGCTTCCCGAAGATGACGCCCTTGACCTCGTTCCCCGCATGATGGTCAAACGCAATTCGTTCATCCCCTTATTTATTGACGACGGACAATTGCTGGTCGCATGTATTGATCAACTCGATCACGAAACTGAAGAAGAACTACGCTTGCGTGCAGGCGTTCCTGTTCGCCCGGTCATTGTCACGCCCCGAGCAGTCAACCAGGCTATTGCCCAATATTATGCACCCGGGATGAGAGATGAGGCGAAGCTCTCTTCGTCGAACACAGAAACAGTTTCTCAATCTTCCGGAAAAACAGCCAAAGCAGATAAGCAGAAAACACCTAAAAGTAAGCCATCTGGTAACGCGAACTTTGATCAACTGACGCCTGAGCAGAAAAAAGAACGCAAGCAATATGGAGTCCTCATGATCTGCTGGAGCGCGATCATTCCGATGTTGCCTGTAATCCTCAAAATGATGATCCCGACCGTCGGGCTCAGATTAGCCTGGTATCCAAATATTCTCTCATTTGTACTCGCATTCCTCTGCCTGGGGGCAACAAGCTACTGGGTGACTCAAAAATACTGGAAATAGATGTCTCTTCTGGCGAAGTCTTCATACAGAAGGAAAAGACCTACAGCGTGAGTGGCTGAGTTATGACCGTGACGGAAGCGACACTACTCGTCATCCAGGGCCCAGGACAAGGAAGTCGTATTCAGCTCAATACCGATTCACTTAGCATCGGCCGAGGGGCTCATAACGACGCTCGTATTCTCGACACCGAGATGTCGCGTCGTCATGCTGATTTTCGTTTCGAAAATGAACAATGGACCATTCTCGATAAACAAAGTTCCAACGGAACTTTCGTAAACGGCGCCAAGATTGAATCGACGACTCTCAAGCCTGGAGACCAGATTCAGCTGGGGCGTTCGATTCTCCTGTTTTCCCTGAACTCCTCTTCTGATTCGCAGGAAGCGGTCGCTCAGATCAACCTCGTTCCCCAGCACGCCTCATCAGACCGTTCGCGGATCGTCGGTCAAGCACGCTCAGAAGGAACTCACTGGGGACAGGAAGGAGCGAACCTTCAGGTGCTCTATCAGATCACGGAGGAAGTCGTCCGCCCCTCATCGTCGCGAGATGAACTGTTAGGCCGCATTCTGGATCTGACTTTGAAATCTGTGGGAGCGGATCGCGGATGCATGTTAGTGACTGACAGCAAAACGGATCGAATCGAACCACGTGTCGTCAGCCACAGACCTGGAATTGACGTCAATCAGCGGATGCCCATTTCGACAACCATTGTGGAACATGTGATCGAACATGGAAAAGGTGTCCGCACTTCAGACGCTCAACACGACAGTCGCTTTGATGGAGGACAAAGTATTCTCAAAGCTGGTATCCGTGAGGTGATGTGCGTTCCCATGCATGGTCGCTACGAACTCATGGGAGTCATTTATGTCGATACAACGACTGCTCCGATGCAGTTTGACGACTCTCAACCAGGGACCTTCAACGATCAGCTCCTTCGGCTCATGATCGCAATTGGCCGCCAATCTGCCCTGGCAATCGAAAACTTTCGCTACCAGGATTCGATGCTCTCTGCTGAAAGACTGGCTGCCGTTGGTCAAACCGCAGCCATTATGAGTCACCACATCAAAAACATCCTACAAGGCGTTCGTGGCGGGGGATACCTCGTTGACATGGGGCTCAAAGGAGACAACCTGGAGCTGGTCAAAAAAGGCTGGACAATTGTGGAGCGGAATCAGGATCGCATCTACAACCTCGTCATGGACATGCTGACACTCAGTAAAGAGCGGGCTCCCCGTTTGGAACTCGTTCACTTAAGCGATGTTCTCGACGATGTCCGCGAGTTAATGCAAACTCAACTGGAGAGCCGCGGAATCGATTTACAAATCACCCTGCCGGAACATCTGCCCCCCACCATGGTCGATCCCGAGGGCTTTCATCGCGTCATTCTCAACCTCATCATCAACGCCATCGATGCACTCGAAGATCAGGCAGAACCGACGATTCGCATCCGTGCCAGCTATGACAACCAAAGCGAGAAATTCGCACTCGAAATCGCTGACAACGGAACCGGCATCGATCCCGTTGACCTGCCCAAAATGTTCAACCTCTTCGAATCCAGCAAAGGCTCCGCCGGTACAGGTTTAGGTCTGGCAGCGAGTCAGAAAGTCCTTCAGGAACATGGTGGAGAGATCACCGTAGAAAGCGAACTGGGCCAGGGAGCCCGCTTCCAACTCAACTGGCCCCTCATGCCCGAAGAAGCAATCGAATCACAAGTCTTCGAATGAACCGCTCATTTTAGTGATTTGTTCCACCACAGGAACATACGGGTACCAACTGCGTGATATGATCTTCACACAATACGAAATAGCAGTCACAAGAATAAGTTTCATCATACTGACAATCTGTCACGTAGTAATCTATAGGCACGAAAATCGTCATATAGTCCTCAACACAAAAATCCGTTTCACTCGTATTCCAATCAATGATACAAGCTCCAGGTACGACTCCTTGATATCCTTCAGACTGCCCGCAGTCAGAGTCGATCAGTGCATAACAATCAATCCCATCCGAAGCGCA